ACTGACATGCTGGTAGAGGCACAGCACACACAGCCCATTAGTTTTAATTAGCTCCATCTTTTCAGTCTCATCTTTTGGCTTCATGCTAACAAAATCTGGCCGCACCACATATGATATAAACCTGAAGCTTTGTGAACTATTGTTAGGGTACCAGGCAAAGCGAGTGCGGAAATGGCAGAGCCAAGATGTGGAGGTGTTGGTATCGACCAGTGATGTCAGCACGCTGGAGGGAGCCGAGCGACTCATCACAGAGGCCTGTGAGCTGGGCCCAGTGGGCGGCGTCTTCCACCTAGCCATGGTAACTCACCAAGCCATTGCATCATCAGTCCCCCTGAGCTTTGTCCATTTTCACACACAGACAAAATTCAAAACTCTCAAGGTTAGGTAGCAGATACGCTTTACTGCTATGTTGTGCTTCCTGCTGCAAGTGGACATGGTCAGTTTGTCTTAAGCAAGGATGGGACAGCTCAGAGAATAAGCCCCTGGTAATGGAAAGTGAAGTGAAACACAGTGTTCCTCTGTGAAACTTTTTTACATTTATTTTCATTTCTGCCTACAGTTTGCTGTTCACATGCATTATTTAAAATTGTTTGCAAATTTTTTGTTAGACAATTGGGGGAAAAAAAACAACAAATTTACAAATGAAGCAAGATTTTTCACAACTGCTGATTATTATTTGAACCTCAGTAATTTCAAATATTCAGGACAGTTTGCACAGCACAAGCTGAACACACATTTTGGTCTACTGAACACAGAAAAACGTATACATCACATGATCTGTGGTTTTTGGGCACAGATTTTCCCATCCCTGTGCAGTGTACTCATCAGAACAACATTCTTGCCTTTCTTTGGCACATAGTACACCGGGGACGTGTCAGCCATGTACACAAACTTAGAAGACTTCACAGGCCTGTCCTTTGTAATCAGTAGTTGAGGTGGGAGCTCAGACTTGTTTTTGCGAATAATTCCCACCATGGTCAGCTTCCTCTTCAGGAGCTCCTGTCCCACCTTGTGTGAGGTAAAAAAAATTGTCACATGTGATATTGTGTCCACTGAGCTTCTGAGTCAGGTCCAGGACAACTCTTATCCCTTGATTTATCTCTGAGGCTCCTCCGTCAGGTTTCCCTGTGTAGACTTGTAAGTTACAAGCATACGAGGTTGCGGCATCACAGGCAGCCCAGATCTTTATGCCATACTTTCATGGTTTGGATGGCATATAGTGCCTAAAGGGGCAGTGGCCCCTAAATGGCATCAGCTGCTCATCAATGGTGACATGAGGCCCAGAGTTGTAAAACGGGGGAGGAGGTGCACCCACTTGTCCCACACTGTCCTGATGGCAGCTAGCTTGTCTCTCTGCCGTCGAGCTGGTCTGTCATCTTGGTTATCAAAGTGGATAACCCTGGAAATTATTTGGAATTTTTCTAAAGACATTGTTGCCCGGAATATTTCTCTGCCAGTTTCTGCAGTCCACAGGCATTGTGTGGATTCCCCTTTGGACCTGAAAACTCCAGCAAGGAAAAGAAGCCCAAAGTATGCATGTAAAATGGTTTGGTCCATCTCCTTCATCTCTCTCCATAAACACGCCTTTCTTCTAAATTGGTGCAATCCAGAATAATGTTCTGGATGGAATCTGGCATCAAAAGTTCAAAAGCAGACTTGATGTTGTGGACATGGGTGACTGCCATTCTTGTTGGCCCTGGTTGCATAGAGATGTAAATGTTTGAAGTGGAGGGTCATAAAATCAAATACTTTTATGCTAAATTAATCAAGAGAAGTACAGTGGGTACGGAAAGTATTCAGACCCCCTTAAATTTTTCACTCTTTGTTATATTGCAGCCATATGCTAAAATCATTTAAGTTCATTTTTTTCATCATTAATGTACACACAGCACCCCATATTGACAGAAAAACACAGAATTTTTGACATTTTTGCAGATTTATTAAAAAAGAAAAACTGAAATATCACATGGTCATACGTATTCAGACCCTTTGCTTAGTATTTAGTAGAAGCACCCTTTTGAGCTAATACAGCCATGAGTTTTTTTGGGAATGATGCAACAAGTTTTTCACACCTGCATTTGGGGATCCTCTGCCATTCCTCCTTGCAGATCCTCTCCAGTTCTGTCAGGTTGGATGGTAAACGTTGGTGGACAGCCATTTTCAGGTCTCTCCAGAGATGCTCAATTGGGTTTAAGTCAGGGCTCTGGCTGGACCATTCAAGAACAGTCACGGAGTTATTGTGAAGCCGCTCCTTCGTTATTTTAGCTGTGTGCTTAGGGTCATCGTCATGTTGGAAGGTGAACCTTCGGCCCAGTCTGAGGTCCTGAGCACTCTGGAGAAGGTGTTCGTCCAGGATATCCCTGTACTTGGCCGCATTCATCCTTCCCTCGATTGCAACCAGTCGTCCGGTCCCTGCAGCTGAAAAACACCCCCATAGCATGATGCTGCCACCACCATGCTTCACCGTTGGGACTGTATTGGACAGGTGATGAGCAGTGCCTGGTTTTCTCCACACATACCGCTTAGAATTAAAGCCAAAAAGTTCTATCTTGGTCTCATCAGACCAGAGAATCTTATTTCTCACCATCTTGGAGTCCTTCAGGTGTTTTTTAGCAAACTCCATGCAGGCTTTCATGTGTCTTGCACTGAGGAGAGGCTTCCGTCGGGCCACTCTGCCATAAAGCCCCGACTGGTGGAGGGCTGCAGTGATGGTTGACTTTCTACAACTTTCTCCCATCTCCCGACTGCATCTCTGGAGCTCAGCCACAGTCATCTTTGGGTTCTTCTGTACCTCTCTCACCAAGGCTCTTCTCCCCCGATAGCTCAGTTTGGCCGGACGGCCAGCTCTAGGAAGGGTTCTGGTCGTCCCAAACGTCTTCCATTTAAGGATTATGGAGGCCACTGTGCTCTTAGGGAATCTTAAGTGCAGCAGAAATTTTTTTGTAACCTTGGCCAGATCTGTGCCTTGCCACAATTGTGTCTCTGAGCTCTTCAGGCAGTTCCTTTGACCTCATGATTCTCATTTGCTCTGACATGCAGTGTGAGCTGTAGGGTCTTATATAGACAGGTGTGTGGCTTTCCTAATCACGTCCAATCAGTATAATCAAACACAGCTGGACTCAAATGAAGGTGTAGAACCATCTCAGGGATGATCAGAAGAAATGGACAGCACCTAAGTTAAATATATGAGTCTGAATACTTATGACCATGTGATATTTCAGTTTTTCTTTTTTAATAAATCTGCAAAAATGTCAAATTCTGTGTTTTTCTGTCAATATGGGGTGCTGTGTGTAGATTGAGGGAAAAAATGAACCTAAATGATTTTAGCATATGGCTGCAATATAACAAAGAGTGAAAAATTTAAGGGGGTCTGAATACTTTCCGTACCCACTGTAAGTTGTTGAACTATTCAAGACTGTTCTGGCCACAATACAAATGCTAAGCTGTGGAGACAGCGGAATGTAAGAGCAAATGATTGCAACCGCAACTTTATTATGCCTGGGTGCAGTACACCCGAACACCCTCTGTGTAATGTAAATGCGTGCAGTCATTGAAGGTGTGTTCTGATATATTCTTCACACAAAATGAGCCAAGGCCATTGAGTTTGAGCCTGAAAAAATAATTATCTTTTTTCTTTAGATAAAAAGTGAAAACTGGTGACACACCCGAAATGTACACCAGGGTTAACCCTTATGTAATGTAATCTAACAAAGGTAAAGGGCAAATGTAAACATCTGTTGATTATTAGAGTTGATTATTACATAGTTTTAGATTAAAATTCTTTTGATTATGTTGAGTTACAAAGCCAAAAGATGCTGCGGGTGCAGGACACCCGTGAACACCACCGGTGTAAACTAAACATTAACAGTACACCTGGGTTAAATAATGCATTATTATATTATAGTATGCTTTTTTTGTTTATGCACTATTGAGACACACTCTGGCACTACTTCCCTGGCAGCACTGTATGCAGTATCCATACTCAGTTACAGCTGACCTCTGATCAAAATGTCATTATCAGGTACTGAAAGATGGCATGTTGGAGAACCTGACCCCTCAACTCTTCCTTGACGTTAACAAACCTAAATACGATGGCACTGTAAACCTGGACAAGTAAGACGTGCACTTAGTCATTCTCTTGAAATAAGGGAACTTTAATAACTTTGTGTCAACATCAAGAAAGAATCAAACGCTTCCATTCTCTCTCTCCAGAGTGACACGAAAGATGTGTCCAGACCTCAGCTACTTCGTGGCCTTCTCCTCAGTCAGCTGCGGCCGCGGCAACGCAGGCCAAAGTAACTACGGTTATGCCAACTCAGCCATGGAGCGCGTGTGTGAGAAGCGCCACTATGATGGCCTGCCTGGATTGGCAGTCCAGTGGGGTGCCATCGGCGATGTGGGCGTGGTGCTGGAGACCATGGGTGGCAATGATATGGTGATTGGCGGCACTCTGCCACAGCGCATTGCTTCCTGCATGGAGGTGCTCGACCGCTTCTTGTGCCAGCAGAGGCCAGTGATGTCCAGCTTTGTACTGGCAGAGAGAACAGTTGTGAAGAGCGAAGCAGGAAGCCAAAGAGACTTGGTGGATGCTGTAGTTCACATTCTGGGTAAGAACCAAGCTATGCAGAGTCAGTCTGATGTGGATGGTGGCACTGGTCTGGACCCATGTTGTGCCACTGCAATTTACATATAGCTGATTTAAGAAGTTTGTGAAGTGTCATCAGAAAACAGATCTAATATTTAGGAAATGCAGGGCTGTTGGTCACTCTGAAATATGACCTAAATGGAGAAAGTTTCAAAATGCTGTTTTTCAGTGTACTGATACAAAGGAGGCATATTCAGATGTCTAAGATGGTTACACATAAAAATGTATTACATAAACTAAAATGTAAAAACGCGACAATGCACAGCATGTGTCTTGTCACAATTGACCAAATTTAAGTTCTGAAAATACTGTGACCAAACAGTACCAGTATATTTAACAAGTTTGGTGGCCTGCTCACAAAAACATAAGGAAGTCATGTTCATGTATTTAACCTTGTTTGAGATAAGTTAACTGGTTTACTATTGAGTCCAGCAACAGGAATAAAGACATTTATTACACTTTAGTTAATAATTTTACCTGCACAATTATTGAAAGTGTTAACTGTCTGTCCCACAGTAAAACAGTTATTTGTGTTTAAAATTTGTTCTTTCAAAAACCATAAGGCGAGACTGTGATTTTCTAAGAAGTTCCCTTTATGGGGAACAGTTGAACCGACAGTGGTGCGGTCGTGGGGCGACAGTATTGCGGTGGGTAGAGCAGTCGTCTCCCAACTGGAAGGTTGAAGGGTCGTATCTCGGTGCCTGCAGTCCACATGTCGAAGTGTCCTTGGGCAAGACACTGAACCCCCAAGTTATTTGTGATGGCGGCGCGTATGCAGGCAGCGGCGTGGGGCCCTCGGCTCCAAACAAAAATTCGTTGTACATGTTACAGTGTTTATAATAACAATAAAATAAAGCTGCTTCTTGTTCTTTATTTAATACCAAATGACTCTGAGAAGGCAGAGATAGATATTTGAATTAATCGAGTTCAGGTGTTGGGTAGTGTTTAATCTAGCCACAGGGGTTGCAAGCCAGTGACCTCTGTGCTGGTCCCAATCCCGGATAAATAGAGAGGGTTGCGTCAGGAAGGGCATCCGGCATAAAAACATGCCAAATTTAAACATGCGAATCATCAGTGCGAATTCCATACC